AGCGACACCAGGCAAAAGAAGCATTAATGTCAATGCCCTATGCAAAATTTGAGAGACAGAATGGCAACGCCCAAAATGGTGGCTGGGAGGATAAGGGGGTTCTGTTGTCTCGCTCGCTCTCAGATTTTGCACGAGGTTTTGGATGGTTTTCCCCAAGACTGCCCGCCCCACACAGCCTTGGGGTTGCTGCTGTCTGCAGGGTGAACAGCATTTTGGTGCCCCGCACACTGACCCTCTAAGTGGCAGCCAGAATCCCTTTGCCCCGTCTCTCCTGCAAACTTCACGAACCCACGCAAGGTGCGCGACGCGCAGGGCTATTTTTGCCACCCTCCTGCATTCAGCCCATGCCTTCTGCCAAGTAGGAGGATTTTCGTCGCAGTGACGTTCAGCTGAGGAGCATGAAGCGAGAGGCAGGTGTCCCTGTGGGTGACAGATGGAGAGTAGTCAGAGCTGGGTGTCACCAGCCCAGCACCGGCAGCTGATGCCAGCTCTCTGCCTGAGGCCACGGGTGGGAGGAGGAGGAGGAAAAGGAAGGCACAGAGCCAGGATGGGCGCCCTCGGGGCAGCTGGCACCGGGGACAAAGGCAGCATGGCTGGGGAGGAGGGGGAGCCCCACGGAGCATAATGGACAAGGGGACAGCAGCAGCCTTGTCCCACCCTGCGCAGGGACCCTGAGGAGCAAGTGGCATGTGGCAGCCACATCCAACTGGGGGGATGGGGGACAGCAGGACCCCCTCCTGGGCAGCTGGTCCTAACCAGTGTCCAGAGGTGACAGCAGGCCTATGGAGAGGGATTTTGGTGGGGGGTTTGCATGGATGGTGGGCTGGGGAGGTGGAGTTGATGGTCCTCTCGCAGGGGGATGCCGGAGGCTATGGGGCCACAGGCATGGCCGGAGCTGAGGACATGGGGAACAGGAGGTGGGGGCTTTGCCACAGCTGGCAGTGGGAGCCTGGAGCCAGCAGGGATGGGGGCACAGGGCTGGGGCATGGCCGGTCAGGGAGGGCAATGCTGTCAGTGGCATCTAGTAAGAGGCAGAAGTGCTGGAGGCAAGATGGCTGTAAAGTGCTTGGGGTGCCTGTTCTGGATGCCTACCTTGGGCCCAAGG